ATATTATTTCCATACATGTATTGTGTATGTGTATATGACATGCGTTGGTCCTATTCAATTGTAGATAGAACATCTATTAAGATGGAGTCAACCTCTGAGTAAATAGGGATAAGATCATATGCTATTTGTTTATATAATCTATTTAGATGGAGTCAACCCTCTGAGTAAATAGGGATAAGATCACTATAGCTATTGTTTATACGTATATATACAACTAGTAACTACTTATATATACTTATAGTATATATATATAGAAAGTTTCTAGTTTGAACAAATAAAGGATTCATTAGAAAAGTGATTTGTAGTAGGAAGTCAAGTTATATCAAGAATTTGAACTAAGATGAGGTCATAGTACCTAAGACAATAAGGTTTGACATTAATGATAACCCTAACTGGATCGAGATATTGGATGGAGGGATTTGAGTCTCTAATAATAAGATGTATGGTTCATTAAGGATATCCATTTAATATAGGTCAACTACATAATTTAATTTTGAACTTTGATAAAAAAAATGTGGCATTCTGAACTTTAAAATCGACCTTTGTGATACTGTGAATTTCACTTTTTTTAGTAATCATACACTTCCTTATACTAGAAATAACAATATTTAAAATTTTTTACTTTTATACACAAAATATTGATTTGGTATGTGGTTAATGCAACCTTTTGATCAGTACTTTTTTCTAGATTTTTTAACTATCCAATAAGAGTTTAATCGATCAAATTTTACAAATTGAAGTATTTAATGGGTCAAATAAAATATTCAACAGGTTCAATTTTATACTTTGAAATGTCCAATAGGTCAAAGTAAAAATTGATGGTGTCCCAAGACTTTTCGTAAAAAGTATAAGGATAAATTTATATCATTTAATATATATATATATATATATATAGTTGCAGATATTGATTCTTAATTAGGTAGCTCATGTTATGTTAGGTGCTACCTATGACATATGGAACTAAAGGAGAGTTAATCCTTTAAGGGGAAAAAAAAAAGTTTATCATAATATGAGAATATTTCATTATCATATTCCTTTACTAATTATTTATTCACCTAGGAATTCATACATATCTAATGACTTATCTAATTAACCATAAATGTTATTTGAATAGTTAATCGAAATAATTGGATTGGACTTGTTAAGGGTTTACAAGGTTTCTAGCATCTCACGAGGTCTAATCTAAAGTTAAGATTTGCAATCAATCTAGATTTGCATAAGATGCAAATGTGAGGATCAATTGAATGTTTCTTTCTATCTAAAACATACATAATTGGAAGACATGTCTCATCAGATGGGTCATTATCCAATTAGATAATAATTATAGCTAATTAAGATTAGCTATTGTTATTGATAAATATGTACATGGATCATGTCTCTCTATCTATAATATATATTCCACTAACTATATATAAAGTGACATAAGTTTTGTTGACTATTTACTTCTTATATTAGAATTATAGAATACTTCCTACCAAAATTATAGAATTTTTTTCTATTTTAGGAATATATATATACACACACACATCTTTATATAGATTTTAATTAAGAGAATAAGAATAAGGATCTTTTCCATCAAAAACACTCAAATAAACGTGGTTTAAAAAAATTTTGATCTTTGTTTTTGTGTATGAGATATACCTACCCTTTTTTAGTTCCTCCTTCAAAAGATAGACTGGCATCGAATCGATCCTTTGCTAGATGCTTGCAGTCATTCAATCATGCGAGGTTATGCACCTTTGACAAGTTTGATATCCCTTCCACATATCAGCGTGTGACATTGTTTTTCGAGGACTTCTCTTGCCAAAATTCATTCCAACTGTTTTGCTCAGGCCCGATGATACTCTCTCTAGCCTTTATACTAAATCTAACTGTCTTTTTTAGGTCTCTTATTTTTTTGCATAAATCTAATATTGCTTTCCTTATTTTATTTGTTTTTCAAAGTTGGCATTGAGTTATTTTTCTTGTTAAATAATGAAAAAACTATCGAAATAAAATTAGACTACTCTAATGATAACCTCTCTTTGCAAATTTGTCCAGTTAAGCTCTATTATGCTAATTACCTTGTTTGGTTAAGATATTTTATTTATTGAAGTTTGAGGACGACAAGGGTATCTCATTCGAGATAAAGTCCACTCAAAAACAACTAACCAACATACCAATAGTAGGATTCTAAAAATTCACTTTTGATGTCTTAGCTTATTAAATTTATGTAGCCACAGATTTTCGTGGGTATTTATTATTTAACAGTGCCTCAAAATTTTGAAATGTTGTTTCTCAAACATTTTCTTAAGGAGAGGAATGATGCACATATTTATAGACTTCAAAATAAGGTTCAAGGGACAAAGCAAGGTGAGATGATCATTGCACAATATTTATTGAATTGAATAGCTTGTGATAAGAATTGGACTTTCATGACTATCACTCTATTTCTGCTGAAGATGCAATTGGATATTGAAGAAAGGTTGAAAAAGGATGCATATATGATTTTTTTTTGCTGTCTTGAATATAAAATATGAATGAAATATGGAATCAACTGTTTAGTAATGGTCTTTTTTCCTCCTTGAGATAAACATATTCATACATAAAATAAGAAGAGAGTCGAAGAGGTGTCATGATACATACAGTCTCCATGGCTAAAGCTTGGTTAATAGCTATTCCTCTCGTGAATGACTGAAAGTGTCCCGCTCGATTCCAACTACCAGAGGAATTGTCCGCTTTGGATCAAGCCAATTCTATCCCATTCTGGAATGGTAAGACCCGCATGGTTTTGTCCTATAGGTGAAATGAGAAACTTCCCAGGAGATTACCCATCCTAAAATTTTCATTAAGCGAGCACGCTTAACCTTGGAGTTCTTCCAACTCTCCAAATCATTCCACCAAAAGGCGCCTCTGATGATTAGTTTTCCCCTTTTTGATATATGATCCGATTCATTCATATGTATCGCATTCCACTACTCATAGCTAGCTCGCCATCCTAGAAGCTAGCTAGGAGCTTCGCTAATACAACCCTAGCTAATTAACAAGTACTCTTGCAAATCAACAAGGAAATCTAGCGGAAAGCATGCAATCACGGAAGTACCCGTCAATCCCTTTAACCAATCAACAAGAGGGAAAATCTAGCGGAAAGGCATGCAATTCACGGGGACAGTACCCGGTCATCCCTTTAACCCCAAGTACTTCTTGAAGAGAGAAAAAACAAGGGATTTAGGAACAAGAATCAGAAACTTACCTTCAAGTTACTCTGAAAACAAATCTGAAATCTTGGCGCAAATTAATCTTGTAGAACTGTAGAACTCACAAGCCTAATTACTAAGGAAAATTCGGTTCTATTCATGCAAGGATGAAGAACACGGTTGTTCTTGAAGAACAAAGGAAAACACGTTTGTTTTGATTAAAATTCAAGGTGGCTGCCGTGCAGCTCTTACAACACAATATAAAATAACCTAAGCTAACCCTAATTTAGCTATTAACTTAAATTAGCCCAGGCCTAAACCTAATGTGACCCAAATGGGCTTAACTAAATACAAGTCCAAGCTAACTAATTAAAACAAGCCTGACTTAAACATAAACTAATCTAGGGCTGGCCCAACTCTGGAAAATACTTTGGAAATTAAGTCCGGACCAGCTTACAATAATTAATTAAGTCCCACTAATAGAATTTAAACAAACAGGACAAATGGGGCCAGGAGGCCCTACACAGCCATACTTAAGCTCATAATTAAATAACATTCCTTCCTAATTTGCCTAAGTTAATAGAACCATGTAGAATGCATCAATGGGTGCCTTCTTTGCACGCTCAAGCACCATAAATAGCTTTGCGTTCTTCAAGTTCAATCTCACATCTTGCATAATTATGATCTTTGGAAGCTTCCAATTGATTTGTTCTTTGAGTAAATGCATTCAAGGGCTGCTCGTAGCTTGGTTGCACGAGCTCTTGTTGATGGTCCCACGGGTAGAGCTAGAGGATCCTTCACCTTGCTTTCCTTGATCCGGGTATTCATTCCCTCCCTCCCTCAAAAAGATTTGTCCTCAAATCTGCATCTAATCAAATGGAGAAGGTCAGAACATTTAAAGGTCAGGCAAAACACACCATACTTTCACCTGGTTAGGTCAATCTTGTAGGCATTTCATTTAATCCTTTCCAACATTTGAAAAGGCCATACACCTTCGGGCAGCAAGCCTTTCCTTTCCTTTGGTTTGGGAATTCTTTCCTTCCTCATGTGCACCAAACCCAATCTCCAGGTTTGAAATACACACCTCCTTCCCTTGTGGCACGGTCAGCATAGCTTTTGCTTCTTCATGTCTATAATAAGCCTGGCTTTAGCATGTATTTTCCACTGACAAATTCAACCTCTTTTTCACCATCTTTAAGTTAGCAATTTCACTTTCAAAGGCAAAGGAGATAAATTCAAGTACAGTCAAAAGGATTAAAACCATAACAAGCATCAAAATTGGACTATAACACTAGAAGCAATGTATAGACCTTATTATAAGCAAATTCAATGAAAGGAAAACAATCCTCCCAGGTTTTTCAGATATCTTACCAACCCACCGCTCTAAGCAAGTACTAGAGTTTCTGTTTGACTACCTCAGTCTTGGCCAATCCGTCTTGGGATGACAAAGTAAAAAAAAAATAGTAGAGTTACAGCAACAACTTTGTCCAAGCTTACTCCATAAAACATGCCAAAATGAGAAAGGAACTTGGCCATCACGGTCTGAGACTATGGTACGTGGCACCCCATGTAATCTCACAAAACTCCTGAAAAACAACTCAGCAACATGGACAGCATCATCACTCTTATGGCATGCAATGAATTGTGCCATCCTTTACTAAACCTATCCACCAACAACAAAAATATACTATCCCTACCATGGCTTTGTTCTGGGCAATCAAGTACAAAATTCCATTAGGAAACATCGTCAAGGCAAAAGTAGGTACAGTAAAGGCATATAAAGGCCCATGAGGCTATTATTTAGACTTAGCTTGCTTAACATGCTTATGCACAAATGCACACACCACACAATTTCTCTACATCTCTACGCATTTGTGGCCAAAAGAAATGTTCAGCAAGTATATCATATGTCTTAAGAACCCTAAAATGCCCCACAAGTCCCCCACAATGTGATTCTAACACAAGCAATTCACGCATAGAACATTTGGGTATACAAAGTTTATTCCCCTTGAATAAAAACCCCTCATGCCTAAAGAACTTGTTAAAGGACCCATGTTCACATGCACTCCAAATAAGACCGAAGTCATCATCATCAACATACAAGGATTTTATATGCTCAAATCCTAACAACTTAGCATTAAGAGTAGTAATTAAAGCATACCTCTTAGAAAGTGCATCAGCCATAATATTTTCTTCTTTGTATTTATCACAAAAGGAAACTGTTCAATGAACTCAACCACTTTAACCATCCATGTCTCTTGTTCAACTTACCTTGTCCCTTGAGGTGCTTTAAAGACTCATGGTCAGTGTGTATGACAAATTCTTTGGGTAGAAGATAATGTTGCCATACCTCCAATGCTCTCACTAGCGCATATAGCTCCTTGTCATAGGTTGAATAATTGATTTGCGCTCCATTGAGTTTCTCACTAAAATAAGCAATAGGCTTTCTCTCCTGCATCAACACTACACCAATGCCTACACCAGAAGCGTCACACTCAATCTCAAATGTTTTATCAAAGTCAGGTAAAACTAAAATAGGAGCAGAACAAAGAATGTATTTTAAAGTATCAAATGCCCTTTGTTGCGCTTCCCCCCATTTGAACCCCCCCATTTGAACCCAACTTCTTTCTTTACCACCTCTGTCAGTGGGGCTACTATAGTAGAGAAGTCCTTCACAAACCTCCTGTAGAAACTTGCCAAGCCATGAAAACTCCTCACTTCAGAAATAGATTTTGGAGTTGGCCATTCTCAAATTGCTTTGACCTTCTCTTCATCAACTTCAATCCCCTGTGCACTCACAACAAAACCAAGAAAAACAAGCCTATCTAAAAGTGCATTTCTGTAGCTTAGCATATAACTTTCAGCTCTCAAAAGTGATCAATACTAACTGACATGCTCATTATGCTCATCAATAGATTTGGCCTATAAATCAATATATCATCAAAATAAAACCACAACAATTTTGCTAGAAAAGCACGTAAAACATGGGTTTCATTAATCTCAATTGGAAAGTTACTTGGTGCATTTAGTTAGGACCAAATTGGCATTAAACCATTCCAACTCATAAAACCATAATTTAGTCTTAAAGGCAGTTTTCATTCATCACTAACTTTCCATTTCTAATTTGATGATATCCACTTCATTAAGTCAATTTTTAGAAATAGTACTTACTACCATGTAGTCATTCTAGCATATCATCTAGCCTAGGGAATTGGATGGCGATACTTAACTATGATCTTTTATTGACAGCTCGCAGTCAAACCACACATGTGAGAACCGTCCTTCTTAGCACAGTAATACAGGACTGCACATGGCTTCATACTCTCCCTCACAAATCCTTAGACAACAGGTCATTTCAACTTGCGCTTGCAACTCCTTAGTCATCCATGGGGTGCTCCTATATGCTGGCCTGTATGGAATATGTTAGCTCCAGGCACAAAGTCAATCTGATGTTCATTGCTCTTTAGGGTGGCAGTCCGTAGATTTATATGAAATACATTTAAAACTCCTGCCAACAAAGAAACAAAACTAGAGGCAAAGAAGAAGTGTCAATGTTAGTCAAATTAAGCAAGTTTCCTTAAACCGAATTCATTAGATTGGCTACCCTCATTAACACTGCTGCGGATCTCTCTCTCTCTCTCTTACATACATTATTTTATTTCTTTCTTCCCTCTCTTATTGTTTCACTCACCAATGGGCCATTCAATTGTTTCCTTTTCACTCTTGCTCTTTTCCCTCTTTTCTTTATATTATTTTCTCCCTCCCCGGAATTACAATTTTGCCCCTACTTTCTAATATTCCTTCTTTTGTCCATATACCTTGGTGGTGCAAAGAGCTTAGGAACCACATGTTTACCCAAATTAGGTAAGGGAGAATCCGGTTGGTGTACCTTCATGCTGGACTCGCCTGTCGGACATTGCCATGGGGCTCCTAGAAGGATATGCCAGCTAGCAAGTACTAACATCACAAGTGACCTCATCCTGTTACCATCCAATGGAGCAATGGCACCCTTTTCACCTGCTTGTCTTACTCTACAGAACCCATATCATTTAGCCATGAAGCATTTAGCCATTGAAGCTTATATGGCCTTGGGTGCTGTACACATGTCAAACCCAATTTCTGCACCATGCTCAAACTAGCTACATTAGTGCAACTTCCACTATCGATAATCAAAAGACATACCTTGCAAGGACCAAACATCTAGTATGGAAAATATTCTCTCTTTGTTCTAAGCTCTCCTCTTGAACTTGCATGTTGAGAACTCGCCTGGTAACTAGTAATTGTCCCATCTCAAGTTGTAAAACTTCTTCATCAACTCATCATCATCATTACAGTATTCAAGTGGCGGCATTGGGTTTTCTTCATCCTCGGATTCAGAATAGGTATATCCATCTCGAATCACTATTACCCTCTTGTTAGGGCATTGAGAAGATATATGGCCCTTCCCAAGACACTTGAAACACTTGATGTCCCTACTAGGAGTATTAGAACTTGATCCCTTTGAATAAGTTGGGGCATTAGGCATTAATGCCTTAGATACTGAATCTATCCCCTTTTGTGTAGAGTTTTGAAACTCCTTTTTTTCCTCTCTTTTAGGCCATCTCGTACCCCAAGAGTTGCTGTTGTTGTTGGCAGCCCTATATGATGTGGTATTCTTCCCTTTTCTCTGCTTCTCTAACTTCTCTGCTTCTCTAACTTCATAGCCATATTGAGCATCTCCTCCGTGAATCATACATGTACATCTCTAGTGCATCAGCTATGTCCTTATTAAGGCTACCTAGGAATCTAGCCATAGTCACCTCCTCATTCTCCTCGATATGTGCTCTAGCCATGCACTTCTCCATATCTTTATAGTAGTCTTCTACTGATTTGGCTCCTTGGACGAGTCTATGAAGTTTCTGATGCAACTCCCTGAAATAATGATCAGGAAGAAAACGTTTTCTCATTACCTCCTTCATATCCTCCCAATTGTGGATAGGTCGTCTTCCCACTTTTCTTCGATTCTGATTAAGTTGATCCCACCAAAACAAACAGAGCGTAGTCTTGGAACTCTAAGGCTGCAATCTTCACCTTTTTCTCCTCAGTATACTTGTTCCATTCAAAGATCATCTCAACCTTCCTCTCCCATTCCAAGTACTCGTCTGCATTGTTTCGGCCTTTGAAAGGTGGCACCTTGAGTTTGATGTTACCCAAGTTACCATCTAATGGTATATCAACCTCTTCTTCATCCTCCCCAAAGTAGGTTTCATTTCTGTAAACACGGCCTCTACCAATCCCTCTTCCTCTTCCTCTGTTATTTCTACCTTTGCCCACAAGGCTCTCTATTTGCCATTCTTCATTCTCTTCTTCATACTTCTTTTTCATGCCAAGGTTTGTCCAGAGTGCTCTTGGAAGTGTTGCACCCCTCCTTGTGGCATTGGGTCATGTCTTTCTGTCTTTTTTATTCTTGAATTTCTTAGTCTGTCATTAAGCCTCCATTAAAAGCCTAGTGATTTCCCAATCTCTCAGAGAAGCATTTAGAAAGGCTTGTTAGTTTTTGGGTCTTTCAACCTTGAGAAGGGCTATTATCCTTTGATCTCTAGGATGAATCAGGGACATTCCTGAAATAAAGATTTGCAAACACAAAATAAAAGCAAAATGTGGTTAGTTTATCACTTCCCTCACGTGTTTTCTCTCTTTATTTGGCTTTTCACAATATGTGGGTTTCAACCCAGGCCTTTTTTACCACTCTTTCACTTGAATAATTGCACTTCAGAATCCCAAAGTTGCTACAAAAGTCAAGAGAAAGTTAGGAAAGCAAGAATATAATCAAGTATGCACAAACTCTATCAGAATCAACGTTTTGAATGGCGAATTACAGAATAAGAAAGGTGTATTGCTAGGAAATTAATAAATAAGCTGAGAGGAACAAAGGCAAATAACAACAAGCAAATAACACTTTAGCAATGATAAGAGGCAAGGCACGGGGGTGCTGGAACGGCACGGGTAGGTTTTGGACTTCCAGAGGCGTGCACGGGAGTGCTATGGTTTGGCACGAGCGTGCTAGTAGACTTCCAGAGGCTTGCACGGGCTGATCAGAGATGTAGCACGGGCGTGCTTCTCTAGCCTGCAGATTCGCCTGGACTTCCAGAGGTGGGAACGGGCGTGCTTCTCCAGCCTACAGAACCGCCTGGACTTCCAGAGGCGGGCACGGGTGTGCGCACGGGCGTGCTTCTCTCTGGATGTGTGAAATCCAATATTTCCTAACTACTATAGCTCTAATTGTTCCACACAAACAAATAATAGATTACTAGAATCGAATCCAACAAAATAGACCAATTCTGGACAGATGAACGAGTTAATTCACCTACAAAGTAAAATTAACTATGGACCTAATCAATCTAATTATCAAAGCTAGTATTCAAGAAAATTTTCCCAAGAACAGAATGTAACTATAGCAGTGCTAGGATATCAATTCACTTCAGTGCACAATTTCAGGTTGTCACAAATCAATTCCCAAGTGCTTCATACAAGCATGTAGTTTACTAGCATATAATTCTCAGGTCAAACGAATAACAATTCCCTTTTTTTTTTTTCAATGCGAATTTGCAGCAAAATATAAACAAAAATTCCTTTTTCTTTTCGATTTTTTTTTTTTAAGTCCCTAACCTTAGGATTAAAACCTTAGGATAGATTTGAAATCCACAACACAGTTGCTTCTGATTACCAGATAATACTGACCCTAGTAATTACAAGTACTTCTTAGCAAATCAACAAGAAATCTAGCGGAAAGCATGCATCGGAATTACCCGTCAATCCTTTAACCCCCAATACTCTTGAAGAGAGAAAAACAAGGGAATTTAGAACAAGAATCAGAAAACTTACCTTTCAAGGTAACTTTTTGGAAAACAAATCTGAAATTTCTTTGGCGCAATTATCTTGTAGAACTCACAAGCCTAATTACTAAGAAAGTTCGGGTTCTATTCATGCAGGATGAAGAAACACGGTTTGTTCTTGAAGAACACAGGAAACACGTTGGTTTTTGGTTTTGATTTAAATTCAATTGATGTTGGTGCGGTGCAGCCTCTTACAAGAATATTAAATAACCTAAGCATTAACCCTAATTTAGCTTATTAACTTAAGTTAGCCCAGCCCTAAACTAATGTGCCCAAATGGGCATTAATTTAATACAAGTCCAAGCTAACTAAATTAAAACAAGTCTGAAAACTTAAACATAACTAATCATAGACTGGCCAACTTTGGAAAATTAAGCCCGACCAGCCTTACAATTAATTAATTAAGTCCACTAATAGGAATTAACCAAACGCAGGACAAATGTGCCAGAGGGCCTACACAGCCCATACTTAAGCTCATAATAAAATAACATTCCTCCTAAATTTCGCCTAAGTATAGAACCATGTAGAATGATCAATTTGGCAGCTCTTTGCACGGCCCCTCAAAAAGCCACCCCACCCATAAAAAAAAAAAAAAAAAACCAAAAGGGGGGGGTTTTTGGGCGTTTTTTTTTCCCCTTTTCAGTTCAATGTCACAATCTTGCATTAATTTATGAATCTTGAAGCTCCATGTGATGTTGTTCTTTGAGTAAATGGCATTCAGGGCTGCTGTAGCTTGGTGCACGAAGCTAAGGCTGCTCGTAGCTTGGTTGCACGAGCTCTTGTGATTGGTCCCACAGGTAGAGTTAGAGGATCCTTCACCTTGCTCCCTTGATCCGTATCATTCGCTCTACCCGCCCTCTTAGGATCGCTTTACCGGGTCAGGATGTCACAGAAAGTCAGTACTCTAGGGTCATCAAATAAAGAGCGATTAAAATGTGCTATCATAGAAGGTTAAGGCATTGTGAGTCCTAATCCGAGCGCCAAGTCCAATCTGCTAAACAAGATCAGTACGCCCATTTAAATTAGATTCACGGTGTTGAAAGCATATTTAATCGATTTGCTTTCTTTGAAAAGGAGTCACCACTTAATTTTCATTTTAGGATAATATTAAAAAAAACCCATTTATTTGACTACGAACTTTGGTCCAATCGGAAAAAAGTACACTAATCTTCAAAATTAAGGAGGATTTGAGGATTATGTTTTCAGTTTAACAACAATCAATATTTGGTGTAAGATTAATGCTTTGTCAAATGGAAAACAAATTTAAGATGAGAGAATGTCAATTATATAAAGCGATAAAGTAAAGCAATTAAGTAAACATAAATAAAGAGATAAACAAATCAATAGAAGAGAGTGTCATCTCTACCCCCACACATCTTCCAATAAAAGTAATAAAAGAAAGCAATAAAGAAAACAATGAATAAACTAAATATCAAAAGCGAGAGTATTGCCTTTAACCCTTTTTTTTTTTTTTTTTTTTGCCAATATACTTTCTCCCTAGGGGTGCCCACGGTTCCGGAAACGGCGGGTTTTCGGTTCCAGAAAAAAACTGGAACTCGGAACCGAACCGACAAGGATTTGGTTTCCGATTCCGGTTTGGAAACTGTCGGTTCCGATTCGGTTCATTGCTTAACATATCGGTGTTTGGAACATCCGGTTTCTTGATTCCGCGTTCCGGTCCGATCGGTTTTTTCAGCGGATCGCATTAATTTTTTAATTTTTTGAAGCCGGTTAAAAAAATATATTGAACATAAAAATTAAAAAATACACCTAAAAAATTAAAAATACTTTCAATTAAATTTATTTTTTAAAGACTTGAACATAATTATTTTAAAAAAAAAAATTTTTCAACTGAATTTATTTTTCGTTTAAAAAAGTTTGAACAAATTTTTTTAAAAAAGTTTGAAAAAAAAAAAAAAAACTGGTCTGCTGGAGCCATTTCATTTTGGTTATATTATATCAACAAAAATGTGTCAACGGGCTAAATGCCAACTGTCATAACATTTCTCACCACATTCACTAATTGGGTAAAAGCAAGTACAACCCATATTCCTATAAGCCCATGAGCTTGGCCCAAAATAGACATTTCATTTAGTTTATAACGCTAGAACCGCCGGTTCAAACCGGCCGGGAAATCGGCGATTCCAGTCCGGTTCCCGCCGGTTCTCTGGAATCGCCGGTTCCGGTTTCAGAAAATTTAAAACCGAAATCGAATCGAAATTCTCCGGTTTCAGTTTCAGTTTGGCCCGATTTCGATTCTCACCGGTTCCGAACCGGTTCAAACCGACAGTTTCGGTTCCCGAAACCGTAATATGGCCATGTCTAAACCGCATGGCTTGAGGGTGAACAATAGTCACCCCATCATCTTTTAGTGTTTTATCATTTATGTAACACCAATGTTTTCAAAGTGGTACGTACGAGCATCGGTAGTTGTGGACCACTTTAAATAATTATTATTTTAATTCTGAACTAGGTGAACTTTGAGATTTGCTAAATAATTTCTAAGTGACTATGGTTTTTGAAAGAAGAAAAATAAAACATTTTTATTATATAAATTCTTAATGCAGCATAAATGATTATTTTCTAAAAGTACAAATTATTAAAAGTATAGCAATCTTTAAAGCTGTTGAGTTGTTTAGTCGGTGTTACAATTTTTCTTAGCGTTTTATTGTTGAATCAGATTCTAAAAATGTCATGTGTTAGGTATAATAAAAGGATAAACGACTATGACAATGTTGAGATCATTGTAATAAATTTAATTCATTGTTATGCTCTTTAGTTCAGATTGATTTCAGTTTTGTCAATAAAAAATATAATGATTTTGTATATGGTTTAGCTAAAAATCCTGCGGATGCTACGAAATCTTTTTTTCACATGATTGTAAAGTTTTATTTTCTTTATATAATAACATAGTTATGTCTTGGTTTTTTTTTTTTTTTTTTTTGGCTTTCGTCATCATTTAAAAGAAAAGAGACATTTTAGCTTTCATCCCTAGGTTTGAAAGAAAAGAATTATTGGGCTTTCATCCCGAAGTTTAAAAGAAAATCATCATTTTGCTTTCATCGCCAAAAAAGAAAAGAAGAAGCATGCATTGCAATATTAAAGCAAAAGACTTAATTGAAAGCATGCATTACATTATTAAAACAATTGACTTAATTTAAAAGCATGCAAATCAAAGGAAAGGACTCAAATGAAAAGAGAAAAGAAAAGAGAACATACCTTAGCGCGAGGTTCGTGTCATGGATTAGCGCAGTTCCGCCTCTTTTGCTTGATCAATGGAACTCCAGTTCGAATGACCAAAGAGGCACCAAACAAAAGGCGAGCAAAATCTTTAAACTAAGGCAGAGTTTGTCATGTGGACAACCTCCAAATGGCAAGGGCAAATCTTTAGATTAGGGCAAAATTCGTCATAAGGAAGACCTCAAAAGGAAAGAGTTAAAAAGTTAAAGTGAACTTTTCTATGAGGCTCTTTAGAATCTAAATTGTGTAGAGAAAATACTTTGGAGGCTGATTATATAAGAAGTGAGGGTGAAATTGCACAATTCCTGAGGTAGGATTGTGTGGTCAATCGCCAGTTGCTGGCAATCAGCCACTTAACCTATGTGGCAAGTGTAAGTGGCAGTTAGCCTTGAATCAGCCTGGTTCCACTGGTTTGATTTAGTTTTTGCTTAATTCAAGTAGTTCATAGCCATTTCAATTTTGATTATGGCTTGTGATATACTATTGAAAACTCTTTTGTCTAGTTTCTAGTGGTACCAAGAACGGCCATTATTCAGTGTTGAGTGCAATCCTACATTATTTTGCGTGCCTTCTTCACCTCTAAGCCTCCGGCTATATAAGTAGGTCTCTTTTCATTTTCAAAATATATTGAATCATACGGAGCATGAATTGACAATGTCAACTACTCTCTCTTTCTCTTACATTCTAGAGGCTTTAGTTGAAATGTTCATTTAGCCTTCTACCTCCTTTCTTATCTCTTCACTCACTCGAGTGTTCTAAGTGGGCGAAGCAATATTCCCTTGAACTCACTTCCTTCTTAATCTCTTTATTCTTTTGGAGGTTCTCCCTGAGCAGACTTCTAATCTAGTTCAAATTTTGCCCCATCCTTGTTTTAGCGCCTCCTTGGCTAGTTAAGCCATCAGGGAAAAAAATCATCAATGGTTTGTAGCATCTTTGGTCATCAAAATCTCAAATCCATAGATTTAAATTTCTCCTTAAAGTCCAATTCTTTCAAAATAAGCCCTAGAACAGGAAGATATGCTCGCTGGTTCAGTTGAGGAGGAAGCAAGCTACGTCTCAGCTTGAAGCTAGCTAAAAGGCTAAGCTATGTATCCTTTTACTTAAATCTTTTCAATTCAAGTTTTTTTCATTATCAATCTTGTCTTTTTCTTAAATTCGATAATTTAGCAACTAAAGCCAAAACATGATAAAGGAGGAATAAAAACTATCTTTTTTAATCAACCAACCCCTATCTTGCAGTGGATAAAACTGCATGGTTTTGATTCCATTAAAAAGAATATGCAGGCAAACTCGTCTTGATTTGTGAACCAAATCACCAAAAATCTCTTTTTCTTCTTTTTTTTTATTTGTTTTTAATTGCTTTGTTTGAGAGATGTGTAATCGTTATAGAATCTCCAAAAGAGGCTAGAGGCCGTACTCCATATTTTGATCTGTTTCTTTTATTTTACTCTATCGTTTTATTTACTTTATTGCTCCTTTAATTGCTTTATATTATTGCCATGCATAATGTTCTATTTCTTCTTAAATTTTTTTCATGAATTAAGCATTAATTTAAGGCCAATTCTAAAATTATTCCAAACTGAAAATTTAGTTTCCAAATCCTTCTTAGTTTCATAAAATAAGATGAACTTTTTCCATTAGACAAAACTTAAGAGTCAAAATTAGTTTTTTCTTAAGTTTTACCTCAAAATTAAAATTCAAGTGGCAACTCCTTTTTAAAAGAAAGCAATCTATCAAATAGGCTTATCTCCATAACCCTATTCAAATGAGCATTTTAATCCCTTATTAGACCAAACAAGACGCTCGGGTTCAAGCTTCATAATTGGTGACTCAACTAAAGAGTATTTTTTTAAAAAAAATAAAAGTAAACTACCAATCGATTTAGAAAATAAAAACTGAATTATTTTCTAATCTGTTATCGACTTGGCCTTTTCTTTATTGCTTTATTCCATATGCATAATTTCTGCATTTTTTCAACCTTAGATCCCAATTAGGACAATTTTCTTGGTTTCAAGTAGTGCCACTTTAATAATTCTCTTTGAGATTGCCTAAGGGTTGGGAAAGTGCCCAATCCGCAACAAATTCTCAATCCTTTCGAGGTGTAACAAGTAGGCTCTATACTGTTGAAACCAAGGGAAACTCATTATTTCACACGACTTAAAACGTCAAAGGTTCATAACATTAATTTTTTCTTGCTAAAAATGTATAGTGAAAATACTATAAGTAATCACAAGTAATACCATTATATGAACTATGCTGTTTATGAATAGTTCAAGGCTCGGTTTGGTAAAAATTCAACTAAATTCGAGTTCATTTTTCTAAATGAATCAAACTTGAACTTGAACTTTAAACTTATTTAATAAACGTGCCAAACTTAAGCTCGAGGAAGCTAGCTCGTTAAGGCTCGTTTAATAAATGAACTAAGCCTAGTCTCTTTACTCTTTAAAGCTCAGTTCAGCTTGACTCACTTGCAACCTTAATAATATTAGGTACAACTAGCATATACTCGTAGGAAAATGGTCTGCTTGTATATTCAAAAGAAAGCATATATACATGTATAGCTAGCAGAAAAATGTCAAGTAGCTTGTTTTATCCTCGTTCTTTAGTGATTGCATGGAATTGTGTGCTTTCTTTACCGTAAACAGAAGAATGGATTAGATCCTTGCCTTTTGCCTTAGGTGACGGCTTTACTATTTAACTTCAATCAACATATAGCTTTATGAGGAACTGTTTTTATTGATAACATAAGATTTAAAATGCAAGATTTGAATCAAAACAAAGAATAAAGAGAAAAGCGGAGAAATCAAAATACAGAAGGATAATTTTGCCCAAATATGAATTATTCTCTGAAATTAACAACAGTACTAAAAATATCATCTTTTCTATATTACACATTGGTTATAATTAAGATTTTCTTGTTTTCCCCCTTTTTAATAAAGTTAGTTTAAGTAATAGTACACATTGGTCAATTGGTCTGATTTATCACATTATGAAGAGAACATACATGGAACTTATTTTACACCTAGGTCTCAATAATTACTTTGTCAAGTACAGGAAAATTGGAGGAGAAAAGCTCAATCATGTTATGATAACCAATTATATCGATTCATTAGTGAAAAAACTTCTACTTTTGAATTACCGAAACAGGAACTTTATTTGAGAGTGGAAGCTCCAAATCATCTTTCCTTAGATTTGACAGGAACTCCTTTGTACATTTGCACACGATCCTTCAATGAATCTCGCCTAGGCCGAGCAACCTTATTGTTAGGATCAAAAAGTAGCACTTCTTCAAATGCCCTGAGAGCAGATTTCAAGTCTTTTTTCTTCTCGTATGCATCACCGAGGTTATTCCAAGCTGTGACATAACCTGGTTGAATCTTCACTGCAGTTTCAAACTGAGCAATCCCTTTGTCAAGTTTCCCGTCACGGACATAACAGACACCGAGGGCATTGTAAACCTGCAGAAATATTTTACCAACAAAATAGAAAATCATCACCAATCATTTATGTTGCATCATAGATTCCACAAATGAATCATGCCCTTGTTAAATTTCCTTTATGCATGTAATTAATGTTACTGCGTTGCATTTGCCATACTCATCAAACAATATGTGGGCATAATTCCTCAATTGAATGATGCACTCTCTTGAAGTATACTCAGATAATTGTGCATATATTATGTTATGTCTACAGATTGAAAATGGAGTTAACTAAGTAACCATTATTTCTGAAATTACTAGAAAAAAGCTCCTAGCCTGGAAAGGTATCTTTGAAGTATTTAAGTTTCTCATAGAATTTATGGCAGCCAGTTATTGGCTTAGTGGTTTTGTGCCTCAAGCGCAATTAAGTCCTAGGATCAAATTCCAATGCCAAAGACTGATCATGGATAAGGTAAGTTGCCGTCCTAGCTAGGCGGATTTTTAACAAACGGGCAAAATTGAATGCAAAACTTTTGTCTACAACGATGAATAATTATTGAATCCAGAAGCAAAAGGTGATTGGAATATTGTCGAAAATAGAAGGGTGGGTGATCAAGGAAAATAATCATCAGAGTCCAAGACATGGATTAAGAGTGCAGTATCATATTCTCCTTTATAAAATGTAAGGCATTCTTGACCAGAACAAAAGCCAACGGTTGCGGAAGAAGATCAAAATAAAGTGGAACGATAAATGAATTGGCAGCTGACTGATCAACTTCTGAGGAAGAAGTTTCGCATTAACTAAGAGATACTTAGCTGAAGTAGATATTTTATTTTCTTGTTAAATGAAATGGTCAAATGTTAATTTAGCTAGAGATAAAAATGTTAATAAATAAATAACAAAGAAAACTGAGAAATTGCCACAGTTGTGTTATCAGTTTAGAAACCAGAACAGTAGCTAGTTTGATGATCTAAGTAAGCAAAAGGAACTATATGCAAGAGAAAATCCAGATATGATAAAAAACACATGATTTTTTTTTTCTCCATAGGAAAACTTGTGCAATTTAAGTCCTTTAACATTTTGCATTAATAGGCAACAAGAGACATACTGCAGTGTGACCTCATTGCTTTTGTTTGTAAAATATGGAAGGAACAAGATAGAATTGTACCTGGGCAAGATCCTGATCATCACCATCCCATTTATCAATTGCTTGAAGCAAATATTTAGTAGCAGCAGGATAAAATTTCCTCCTTAGCATAACTGCACCAAGTTCAAAAAGCTCAGTTGCACTGGCATCACCGCTTCTTACTTGTTCCTGAAATTAAAAAGGCCAAAAGCAACAAAATTTTATACTTAACAACAAATTACAGAAACTCCACCTGCTATCAACTGTGAAATTTGAGAGAGACAGAAACCAAGGGATCTTGCATTTGGGAAGAGGGTCCAACAGAAGGGGAGAATTTTTTGGTGGTTATCTGAGGGGTTGGAAACCCCCATTCCTAACCCCATTTTTCAACCCTCCAAATTGGATGTTAGGGAGGGTTTATTTCCTATATTACCATTTTTATGTTTTAAAAACCCCAAATTGGCCCCATCAATTTTTTTTTTTTCCTCTTTCTAACTAATTTATATATCTTTAAAAGTTTAGTTTAAGAACTAATTTAACATCCATAAATTAATATTTCATTCGAAAGAATAATTCTAAAAAATTCATATATCTATTTTCAAAAAAAAAAAAAAAAAAAAGTTTTCCTCTTTCTAAACTAATTTTATATATCTTTAAAAGTTAGTTTTTAAAGAACTTAATTAACATCCATAAATTAATATTCATTCGAAAAGAATAAATTCTAAAAAAATTCATATATCTATTTCAAAAAAAAAAAAAAAAAAATCATATACCTACAAAATAAAACAACTTTAATGATAAAGGATTATTTTTTGTAATTATATTATAACTAACCTTTCAATAAAAAAAAAAAAAAAAAAAAAATCATATACCTACAAATAACAACTTTAATGATAAGGATATTTTTTGTAATTTATATATTTAACTTACCTTCCAATACCTCCAAACCAAACAACACAAGATTACTAAAACTTCATTGCCTTAGCTTCCTCCCAAAAATAAAGAAGAGACTTTTCTTATTTTACCATACCTTATCTTACTGTACCTTTAATAATCATTCCCTCAACCCATCCAAACAAAGCATTAAAGATATCTAGGAAGGTTGTATGCTAAATCTGAAACATATAATCATATAAAAGGCAGAATAAAATAGACGGGAAAAACATGAACCATTCACCTGCAATTCTTTTGCGGAAAGGTCAAGCTCTCTACGCACAAGGACTTGACGGATCACAAAGAAAGTTCCAACCCCCAGTAAAGCTAATAGTAAGAGTAGATAAGACAGTTGGATTCCCAATTCAAATAACTCCCCAACATCATAAAGTGCATCTGTTTTGATATTTTCATGTGCATGTGCCACTTGTGCAGAAATCAATAACGAGATTTGTCCACATGAGAATGTTGATAACCAAATTAAAAGCCTCTTCATGTGCATATTATCCTTAATATTCAACATGTTGCTCAAGTTTCCTGCAGCACAGTTCTGACATTAGGAGCAGCCTATACAACAAAAGGTTAAACAGGCAAAGGCTAATAGCATTTCTAAAAGGTCGCAGATGCTGCTAGTTTCAACATGACTTATCACAGAGTAATAACAGCATGAAAAAAATCTCCCAACTCCCAAGCGGCTAATATAAGCAATGAAAAGGTTATGCTGAGACTCTTATTGAGTAATGCCAACAAAACCGTCCAATTCACAAGGTATGTTATAAAGTTGCGCTATTTCAAACACAGTGATCAGAAAGCTTCATCATATTATAATTGAAAATTAAGTAAATAAAACTGAATTGAGTTAAATCGCATAAGGGATAAATTTGATTGAACAAAGCAGAAAACTTACATTTTAAACTGTTCTTTGAAACTTCAAATTTGAAAAATTATAAGCAGCGATAGAAAATGCAGTCATTGATGAATAAACAGAAGTGAAGATTGTGATATGCAATTGAACACCAACCATTACCATTGTAATCTTTCATCAGTAGTTTAGATTTGTAACTTTATGTGCTAAGTTATACATGTAAAATTGGAACAGTAAGGAGTTTGGCAGGTGGCAAATACCAAACACCTGAACTGAGGACATATCTTGATCTGAGGTTCAGAGTGTCCCTACCCACAAGAATTGATGATAACAGGCAGTTATCAATATTGATGAAACTATCAATACCTAATTGTCACACCTGTACCCAAGATTTACATCCTCTGCATGCAAAATACACACGCACACACACACACACACACACACACACACACACACACACATATATATATATATATACATAATATGTGCAATTAAATTAATGCATAAAGATACTTGTACTTTTTTCTTGTTTCCCATGAAAGGTGTGATTACAATCAGTAGTTACGAAATCTCAAGTAAAATCCGCAATATTAATCAATTAACTGACAACAAAACTCAAATGTAGGCTAGGACTGGCTTAAAATGACTCAAATTAATGACCATGAAGAACAACCCACAATGAGGACTAAATGATACAACTCCAAAACTTTAAACTATAAGCAAAAAGCATCTGCTAAGACTAAAATTAAATATACAAGTCCTTCCAGAAAAAATATATATTACACATAAAAGTAGATTTACCACTATATAAAACAGGAAAAATAAAAGCATAAAGCACAACAGGAAATTACTCTTAGATGTTGTTGAGTCATACGATTCTATTGCCAATTCCCTTTGATGTATCTGCCTTCATCCACAATAGAAAGCAAAATGAGTAAAAAAAAAAATGGAAGACAAGTTCATTAAAAAGGTTCCTATAAAAATAATTTGATATAGAAAGAAATGATACAATTCTGTAAAATGATAAGTTGTCATGAAAGTACATTCTAACTGATTTATTTAAAATAATACAAAAAAAAGTTTCTCTCACCTGGAGAGTTCCTACATGTAACAGTGCACTATAGATCAAGCCTAATCCCACCCCATATTACTAGATTTAGGCAAGATCCACATGGTTTTGTTTATAAGAGTGATGATCCAACGCCTTCAAAAAGCCTCTCAATGGTCTAAGGTTTGTTCAACCTCGTATCCACTTTATCACTCTTGCACTTATCCAACATGGAATTTACCTACAGTATCATGTTCACTCCACCCCCCACCCCCAACCAAAAAAAATAAAAAAAGGATCAACTTCCTTATTGAGGTTTATGCCACCACCGAACAGAGGAGCAAGAGCTAGCTTTGATAGCAATTGCAACAACCCATCTGACTACGATATTGTCCACTTTGGAACAAGCTGAATACCAACCTATCTTGGATTTGAACAAGATCCACAAGGTTTTGTTCCTAAGAGTAATGATTCATCACCCTCAAAAGGGCTATCATGGTCTAAGGTCTGTTCAACTTTATATCCAACTCATCACTCTTGTATTTATAAGATGTGGGATTTGCGTAGTGTGTTACACTATCATTAGGTATCATTTAAAAGTTGAAAATGCACGTCTCATTCCTCGTTTACAATAATCGTTGTTGCATACGCATATACATGCTTTTGCCACAACAGACACACCAAACGGCATGCAACCCATTATGGCAATCACGGCATAGACAGAAATAAGAACCTCTAATGTGGAAAACAATTTGTATAAGTTGAAAAGGAAAAATTCTATGATGTCCAAATGCTAAATGTAGTCTTTAGAAGAAGCAAAAGGATTTCTCAAGAATAGGGATTCAACTCACAGATTGGATATTCAACCATTCAATAATCCTATTCTTTCTTTGGTTTATGAACGGGAGAAAGGCGGTGAGAGAGGCCAAGCAAGGACTAGTTATTTTAAACTCAAGGCTCATGAAAAGAAAGACGTTTTCTTAATTGCCTGCACGACATCAGCATGACGTTCCTAGTTCCCAGCTGTCCTTTTTCCGCAGAATTACTAACTTTGTCACAAACAATTATTCTTTGCAGAAAGGGAAGTTTCTTTCAATTACGTCTACTTGACTACTCATATACCAAAAATGTATTTTGATTGACAAAGTATACAAAATTATCACTTGGATTGACATAAATGGTACAACTGAATAGCTGACCATGGATCATTTGTTCTCCTGCATTTGATTTGTTACCAATCACATTTCAAACCAGCAAGAGAACAGGATGTTCTTTTCTTTTTAAACATTTTAGGTTTTCAGTTATGATGCACAACAGCTATTCATTTATTTTATGTTTCCATAGAAAGTGCATGTTGATTTTGGTGGTTTAAGCATCAATATCAGTTGAACAGTAGTTCTCAATGACTAAGACAGAGAGGAGGGTCAGCCAAGACAACCTGTATCTGGAAAAACACACTTCACACATAAATAGTCTTAAAGTAAGAAAAAGTATTGATTTGAAAGGGGGGGAAAAAAAAGGAAGAAGAAGAAGAAGAAGAAAATAAAGGAAGAAAGAGTAGATAGTAAGTTTTGCTGGGACTGTGCTAAGAAGAGAACATGTCTGATTAAGAGACTTTTAGTCATAAAATTCAAAACAGAAGTAATGAAAACCTAAATGTATTTTGCCTTTTCATCAAAATGGTAAAATTTCAACGGCAAACATACAGTTTCTCACAAAGGTATTAATCATAGAAGCATGAGATGACCAGAATTACTGACCATTGAAATAAAGAGATTGTGAGAACACATACCTGCAAATTGAGAAATCTTGTATTATTCAGGGCATGGCCTGTTCCGAGGGTTGTCAAGTCTGGTGAACTACAGTGCTGAAAAAGGGCCTGGAGTTCAATTAAGCATTAATAGTGGTAGAGAATATAGCAAACTACGCAATAAAAATGATGTTGATGTAGCTGGAAGGAGAAGGCATAGCATACATGGTGTTATCCTTTTATATAAAACTTGTTAAAGATAAATACTGATGAAGGGAAAAATATTGTTTTACAACAATTATGATCATATCATCTATTCTTGCAACTTGAATGGACAGTAAATGCTCAAGGAAAAATGCCTTCAAAGAGGAGAAACAAATAAATTTCTCATTGATTTACGTTCACTTGATTCCTCATCTTAAACCTTATAGACTAACATAATGCAGAAATTTTACCAGCATACAAATTCAAAGGTAAGAGCAAAATTAAAATGAAAATATGTTCATGTTCACTTCCATTTTATTTATTTAATATTTCTTTCAAAAATAAGATGAAACACTGTTCCTTTTAAACTAATGTTAAAACTTAAGAGTTTCAACTTGCAGATCTTGAGTTTGAAGCACTACAACAAGGACAACAAGGATGGACAGTCATGCAAACCAAGGAACAAAAGGCCTCTTGATAAAAAAAAAGAAAAATGTAATTCAAGAACCAACTAATAAGATGGGCCACAGCTACCGTTAGGAAGAAAAAGCTAAGACCTACTAATGGGTTCTATTTTTCTTAATTTACTATTTTGTTTTATGTCAAGCAGATAATCATTAGATCTACATTGAAGCTGAATATCAAGCATGACACTGCACTTATTTGGCTTTATTGGTCATTGGAGGACAGGATACACCGATTCTAGTTCAATGCTATAAAGTTTCATTCGAATTATTGACATATAAGGAGAGGGATTTGAACCCTTGGTAAGAAAAACTGGTAAAAAAGATTAGCAATCCAAAACATTAATCCATTCAGCCATCCCTCGCAATTTAAAAGGAAAATTATATTACACAACAAGTAAGATTTTTTTATCCTTTAATTTTAAATATTTAACATAGAGCATCCATAATCAGTTGTGGTTATCCTTTAGTCTACCTAATCTTTTCCATGAACAGATTAACCATACGGAGAACGACTGTCATTTTATGTGCTGTCAGTCAATAGTTAAAGGCACTTCCAATTTTTCTAGTTCCTTCAATCGATCAGACAATATCTTCAACAAAAACTTTTCCATCAAGACATGTTCAATATCTGCTCTCCATATTCAAAGTTAACTGCTTTGTTCAGAAACCAAGTTTGAGTTGTGAATGGAAACACAAAACTAACAACTATAAACAAGCTAAAGAAATAGAACATTGATTCAACCATGCTATTCAAACTAACATGTCCACATTAATGCTATTTAATTAACATTAACATGCAATAACACAAAAGATAACAGAAATCCAAAAAAGGAGTTCTTTTCAAAGTCAGGCGCATGTATGACAAAATTTGATGATGCTATTGCCATGGGAATACAAAATAAGTTGTTGAAAACTATATGAATCAAGAAGCTATGCTGTTTTATTCCACTAAAATTATAAAATTCTACAAAATACCCACTATGCTGTTTTATTCCACTAAAATTATAAAATTCTACAAAATACCCAGCCCAAAATACTATGTTTTCCAGTACAACCAATCTTCCACCCAACCCTTTCATATAAAGAAACCAAGTGAAACAGCCAATCATGACAATCCAAACATCAAAAAGAAACATGAACAACCCGTGATTTGACATTCTTCTTCATAAAAATTATCCAAAGCTCTCGCATCATAGATGCAACAAAACCACGAGATTGGGCAAAAAGGATGTAACTTTAACTCAATAATAATAATTAATAGAACACGCAAAAAAAAAAAAAAAAAAAAACAAACAAAAAAAAATGCAATTCACCTGAGAAGAATGCTTGTAGGGACTACACTTAAAAGACCCAAGTGAGAGGAGAGAAGGAGAATGAGAAAGAGAAAAGAGATGATGGTTTTGCAGAGGTGGAGATGATATGGTTGCTGTTTGGAAAGGCATCTTTTCTTTTGAGCTCCTTCAGTCATAAACTGAGTGAATTTTCAGGGTCTTGAATACTACTCTCCACTCTCTACAGAAAGAAAGTTCGCAGTTCGTTGGAGGTAGAAGATAAAGTTTGCCTGACAACGACACAAAGATAAGACTGGACTGTTTGTTATCCTCTCCTCTTAATAAAATCGGAAAACATATATGGAACGGTTCGTTCCATAACACGATACTAATTTACTATTATTGTTCTGACTATAAAGACAAAGCGGGGCCCATGTATTTTATTGCGGAGGATCCTTCATCTATAATCAACCCGTTCATTCGATTTGCTTCATCTACCTCTCCCATTCCCTTTCTTAATCGTCTATTACTGCATCGGCCATGGCGGAACACCGTATACTCATTTATCAAACCATTTTCTTCTTCTTCGTATTAGAACAAAAAACTATTCCTTGCCATCGTCTGCTGGTTAGTGGATAAATTTCAATTTCAATTTCCCCAGTAATTTTTACTTTAGCTCATGAATTGTCTCTTTTAACCCTTGTATTTAAAACTCAGTACCATATACTATCCTTGTCCCAATCCCAATTCACATGTAGAGTAAACCCTAAACAAAGATAATTTATCATTTCCCCGAGTAGATTTGACCAAAGTGCACACCAAGATAAAATTTACTTGAAAGCTCAATCCTAAATAAATCATATATAGTTGTAAAATCGAAGAGATCGATTCATACTATTTCTGTCTTTATTGATATTAGTCTTATGACATACATTGGATATTAACTCGTTATTTGTATTTTTTTCAATTTTTTATGTTATTATTTACTTTTACTTATTATTTATACTCGTTTTTATTTTTAAATATTAAATATTAATTATAATTATTATAATTTTTGTCTTATGTTATTTAGATTTTTATAATGTTAAATAAAATTTCATGTAAGATTAATATGAATATAATAGTTAATTAATAAAATAACTTTGTGTATATACTTATATCGTCATTTATCCATATTCAGTATAACTTTATATATATAATTTTATAATATCACTTAGTAAATACGTTTAGACTTTATATATAAATTTTAATAATATCACTTAGTAAATACGTTTATATATATATATATATATATATATATATTATATATATATATATATATATATATATATAATATATATATATATATAAGTATATAATATATATATATATATATATATAATAATAATAATTAAAAATATTAAAATATATTTTTAAAATTAAATATTCAATGTCTCGTTATCTCACACACAACAGACGGGCATATTATCATTTTATTTTAAAATCAATATTTTTAAAATTAAAATATTCAAATGTTCGTTATCTCACACACACATATTATCATTTTATTTTAAAATAAATTTTTAAGAAATAAAAATTTAAAAATTTTGGAAGGTTTAATTATGTATGTTCTATTTGAAAATTTGTTTTTTAAAACATATATTTAATCAAATTATACAAACATAAAGAAAATAAATATTATGAAAATATATTTTTTTTCTTTTTTATCTCTCTTCGATCAAAAATTAAAATCTTAAGTAAAGTGTATAATGTAGTAAAAAATTATTTAGATTTTAAAGTGTATAGAATAGACTAATTGATTATAATTTTAAAAATAAAAATAAAAAATTTTCAGTTTGAACGGGATCGGAACCGCCTATTTCGGATCGATTCAGGTTCAGATTTTAACATTCACATGAATCTAAACCAGTCTTTCAATTGCTAGTACCGATTCAAAATTTAAACTGATGGTTTCAGTTCGGTTATGGTTTATCTACGGTACGGTTCGGTTTCGATTTAAATCAAAATTAGGCATACAAAGAAATCAAAATTGATCTTCAAAAAAATCGAAGACCTTCATCTCTTTTAAGATTCCTAAATCTAAAAACAAAAACTGCAACTAATCAGTGAAGATTCAAAACGCGGTCAAAAATCTCTATTCATCTCTTCATCTCTCTGCTCATTTATGTTGGTAATCATTAACCAGTGAAAGAATTAAAACTTTATTTATTGAAGATCCAATATGTAAGCGTAAAATTGTTTATTTGATGCAGTCAAAGGGAAGGGGATGTTGATTCTTTTGTTGCAATTGGGGTTCTTGCCCACAACCACTTAGAGTACTTGGTGAGATATTAGAATCAAATTGGGCTAGCTTTGAAATTGCCACATTCTTTTAGCATGGTTAGTGAATGAAATAAAATTTAGAAGAAGTTTGTTACATTCTTTCTAGTTATCAATGTTTCTAAAATAGGATCGGACTGGCCTGTTGGATCGGTTAAATCGCGATCCAATAGTTGGTGGACCTGGTTTGATATAAAAAATTAGATGGCCTAAAAATTGGATGGACTGAAAAATCCGAAAAGACCCGGGAATCAGTAAAATGGGTATGAACCGAATTTAAAATGGACGACATCGTTTTCTGCAAAAAAAGAATACTAAATCCTTAAAAATTAAAACCTATCTACTTTGCGAACTTCTTTCTTCTCTGCTGCAAATCTAAAATCTCTTCGCAAGTTTGAAATCTCTCCCTCACATCTCATTACCTCTTCTACAAATCAGAGATCGGGACTTCACTTGGGGCTGTTCATGCTAAGTATTTACTAAAGGTAAGTTTTCATTCCATTAATACTAGAATTTAGTTTGCTTATTGAAGACAATAGTTGTTTATGAAATTTGACTGAATATGAGAATAATACTCATTAAGGATATGATTCTAGAAGTTTTATGTATTTTTTTTCCCATAAAAATTGGGCAATTGAATAAATAGCCCATATTATGTTTAATCTATGCTATACACATAAGTTGCTTGAAGAAATGTTCGGGTCAAATTTGGTTATTCTTGGCCTTAGACAACAGACAAAAAAGAGAAAAATACAAATAGTTTTTTTGGCTTTTTTAGTACAGTAATCTTTTCTGTTGAATATCCAGTTTACCCAGCATAGTAAGGTAACCCTGTAAGCAGACTTTTGTGAAGCGCGTCAGCGTCTTCCTTTGGCTTAACCGTGGACTTTAAAATTGCATTTAACCAACTATAAAACTTATCTCCAATTAGTTATTAGTTAAAAAGCTGGATTTTTATTGTCAATAATAAACAAAAACACAGTATTAACATAAAAGCTTTGTGCTACCTTTAGGTTATTGACAAATAATAAAATTATTCGTTTTATTCTCAATTAAGTTTTTATTTATTATTCATCTTTTGTCAAACAATGTATATATAATTTAGCCTTCCATTTTAATAAAAAAATGTTATCAGTTGTTGTCTATTAGTTGTTAACTCAAAATCTAGGCAATGCTTAAGTTTATTTAGGAAACTAAAAGTTGTTTGAAAATGATATTCAATTGTATTTTCTTTTTTTTTTTTTTAGATATTGAGGATGATGATGTCAATGCATTGCAAACTGATTGCATTGCATTATGATGAATATTGACAATGAAAACCGATTACAATGTCCATAATTATCTTGAAAAAAATTTATTTTATTCATGTTTAGATGTTTAATTTATTTGGATGTTTGAGTTAAACTATAAACTTATATTTAATTAACTTATATGTAAATGCGAATCTCAGCTATCACCTCCTCTAATTTAGAATTCATCTTCTCAAGTTTGTTATCCATATCATCTCGCATATCTTCAAGAGAATGTTTCACCTTTGATAACCTTTCGGCCTCTATAGGATTGAGTTTAGACGTAATGGCCTTCATAGTCACACCAAATCCATTCTTGTACATAAAATAAAACACTACTCTAGCGTAGACAGCTTCTTCAAGGGTACCCATAATTATCCCAAGCTTTGCAAATATCTATCACCAGAGCTCTCTTGTCGCAAGTTTTCCCGTTTGCATATCATAAAGAGTTTTAGAATGCACCACCAAGTGACCATGTCATTGGAAAATTTTCTTGGATACAACAAGAACCATTTGCAGGATGTTTTAGATGGAAATTTTTTATGATTGTGTGGGCAGCAAATTGAATATTCTTTGTCATGATGTTGAAGGAAAATGAAAATACCGAGAAGAGAAAATAGAGAAAAAAAAAACTGAGATTGAAGGCGGAGCAATGAAAGAGAAAGAGTAAAACGATGACCTATAGAAAAAACTGTAATGAGATGAATTTGAGACACTCTATATATCATTTAGGTTTTTATTTTAGTTAAAAATTTTTATCAGTTGTTCAATGAAAATTTAGGCAATTTTCAAGTTTATTTAGGCAATTAAAAGTTGTTTAAAAATGATATTCAATTGTATTTTCTTTTATTTTTTTATAGATATTGAGGATGATGATGTCAATGCAATGCAATGCAATTTAAAGAGGAGATGATTATGATGAAATTGATAATGAAAATTGATTGCAACGTCCATAAATATCTTGAAAAAAATAAAATTCAAGTTTATATGTTTGATTTATTTGGATGTTTGAGTTTAACTATGATTTATATGTAAATGTGACTCTCAGCAATCATCTCCTCTAATTTAAAATTCATCTTCTCAAGTTTGATATCCTTATCATCTCGCATATCCTCAAGAGATTGTCCCACCCTAGATAACCTTTTGGCCTCCATTGGATCGAGTTTAGACGCAATGGCCTTCATAGTCACAGCAAATCCATTTTTCTATATTGAATAAAACACCCCTCCAGCATAGGCAACTTCTAAAGGGTACCCGTAATTATCCCAAACTTTCAAATCTTTGTCACCAAAACTCCCTTGCTTCAAGCTTTCCCGTTTGTATATCATAGAAAGTTTTAGGATGTACCATCAAGTGACTGTGTTCTTGGAAAATTTTCTTAGATACAACAAGAACAATTTTTGTAGGATGTTTTAGAAGAAAGTTTTTTATGATTGTATGGACAGCAAATGGAATATTCTTTCTCATGATGGTGAAGGAAAATAACAAGAACAATTTTTGTAGGATGTTTTAGAAGAAAGTTTTTTATGATTGTATGGACAGCAAATGGAATATTCTTTCTCATGATGGTGAAGGAAAATGAAAATATTGAGAAGAGAAAATGGAGAAAAGAAAACAGAGATGAAAGCCGGAGCAATGAAAGAGAAAGCGTAAAACAATGACTCAAAAGAAGAATTGTAAAGAGATGAATTTGAGGAACTCAATATATCATTTAGGTTTTTGTTTTAACAAAAAATTTTCATCAGTTATTGTCTATTAGCAGTTAAATCAAAGAGTAGGCAATTCTTAAGTTTATTTAGGAAATTAAAAGTTGTTTGAAAATGATATTCAATTTTATTTTCTTTTATTTTTTGTACATATTGAGGACGATGATGTCAATGCAATGCAATGCAATTTAAAGAACAGATGATTATGATGATATTGACAATGAAAACTGATTGGAACGTCTATAATTATCTTGAAAAAAAAAATTATTTTATTCATTTTTACATCTTTAATTTATTTTTTTACATCTTTAATTTATTTTGGGATGTTTGAGTTAAAGCTTATGAATTTTGGGATTTAATTAAACATTATATTTAAATGCGAATCGGCAACTAATCACATACTCCTAATTTAGAGAAATTTAATTAACTTATATGTAAATGCGAATCGCAACTATCACATACTCTAATTTAGAATTCATCTGCTCAAGTTTGATATCCATATAATATCGCATATCCTTAAGAGATTGTTTGATCCTCGATAACCTTTCATTCTCCATATGATCGAGTTTAGACTCAATGGCCGTTATAGTCACAACAAGTCCATTCTTCTATATAGAATAAAACACCCCTCTAGCATAGCCGGCTTCTTCAAAGGTAACTGTAATTATCCCAAGCTTTGCAAATCTCTGACACTTGAGCTCTCTTCATGCAAGCTTTCCCATTTGCATATCATAGAAAGTTTTAGGATCCACCACCAAGTGACGATGTCTTTAGGGAATTTTCTTGGAAACAATAAGAATACTTTTGGTATGATGTTTTATAAAGAAGTTTTTGATGATTGTGTTGGCAGCAAATGGAATATTATTTGCCATGATAGTGAAGGAAAATGGAAATACAGAGAAGAGAAAATGGAGAAAAGAAAACAGAGATGGAAGGTGGAGCAATAAAAGAGAAAGAGTACAACGATGACTTAGGAAGAACTATAATGAGGTGAATTTTAGAGACTCAATATATCATTTAGGTTTTTGTTTTAATGAAAAATATTCATCAGTTGCTGTCTATGAGTTGTTGAATCAAAGTTTAGGCAATTCTTAAGTTTATTTAGGAAATTAAAAGTTGTTTGAAAATGATATTCAATTGTATTTCCTTTTATTTTTTGTAGATATTGAGGATGATGATGTCAATGCAATGCAATGCAATTTAAAGAATAGATGATTATGATGATATTGACAATGAAAACTAATTGGAACGTCCATAATTATCTTGAAAAAAAAATTACTTTATTCATTTTTACATCTTTAATTTATTTGGATGTTTGGGTTAAGCTGTGATTTAGATTTAATTAACATATATGTAAATGCGAATCGCAACTATCGCCTACTCTAATTTAGAATTCATCTTCTCAAGTTTGATATCCATATCATATCGCACATCCTCAAGAGATTGTTCCACCCTTGATAACCTTTCGCTCTCCATATGGTCGAGTTTAGACACAATGGGCGTTATAGTCACAACAAATCCATTCTTCTAGATAGAATAAAACACCCCCCAACATAGGTGGCTTCTTCAAAGGTACCCGTAATTATCCCGAGCTTTGAAAATCTCTGATACTTGAGCTCTCTTGTTGTAAGCTTTCCCATTTGCATATATAGAAAGTTTTAGGATGCACTACCAAGTGACGATGTCTTTGGGGAATTTTCTTAGAAACAATAAGAATACTTTTTGTATGATGTTTTAGAATGAAGTTTTTTATAATTGTGTGGGGCAGCAAATGGAATAATCTCTCTCATGATGGTGAAGGAAAATGAAAATACTGAGCAGAGAAAATAGAGAAAAGAAAATAGAAATGGGAGGCAGAGAAATGAAAGAGAAAGAGTAAAACGTTGACTTGTAAGAAGAACTGTAATTAGATGAATTTGAGAGACTTAATATATCATTTAGGTTTTTGTTTTAATAAAAAAATTTCATCAGTTGTTGTCTATTAGTTGTTAAATCAAAATTTAGGCAACTGTTAAGTTTATTTAAGAAAATTGGTTGAAAATGATATTCAATTGTATTTTTGTAGATATTGAGGATGATGATGTCAATGCAATGCAATGGAATTTAAAGAGAAGATGATTATGATAATATTGACAACGAAAACTCAGTGCTACGTCCATAATTATCTTGAAAAATGTTTATTTTATTCATGTTTACATGTTTAATTTATTTGGATGCTTAAGTTTAACTATGATTTATATTTAATTAACTTATGTGTAAATGTGAAATCTCAATGATCACGTCCTTTAATTTAAAATTCTTTTTCTCAAGTTTGATATCTATATTGTCTCGCATATCCTGAAGAGATTGTTCCACCCTTGATAACCTTTCGGCCTCCATAGGATCGATTTGGATGCAATGGCCTTCATAGTCATAGAAAATCCATTATTGTAGATAGAATAAAATACCCCTCCAGCATAGGCAGCTTCTTCAAGGGTACCCGTACTTATTCCGAGCTTTGCAAATCTTTGCCACCCGAGCTCCCTTGCTGCAAGCTTTTATGTTTACATATCATAGAATGTTTTAGGATGCACCTGGTCTGACTGCGCCGGTAAAGGCTAATAAAGGGCAGTGAGAGTATACCACAAGTATTAACGTGTCGTACAAGTAGTATATAAAATTTCGTATCCACAGGGAGTGGAAGGATAGAGTAATAGAATCTTTTGAATACATAATTATTAGATAGAATCAATAAGAGGGGTCAGTTATGCGTATTATAAAATACCAGAAATTTAAATATCAGAAAAATAAATGACTGAAATTTAAATAATTATAAAAATACCAGAAAATTTTAAAATAATCAGGAAAAATAAATGACTGAAATTTAATAAAAATAAAAGGGTACAATAAAGTTAAATGCGATCAAATAAAAATGCGATAAAGTAAATTAAATAGGAAATTAAAGTGCAGTAAAGTAAAGAGCAAAAAAATTAAATGAAAATTAAATACATAAAATTAAATTAGCTATTAGTAGTTAGAGGTTAAGTAGTTAGAATTAGTAGTTAGAAATATATATATATTTGAAATTAATATATGAGAAAGGTATTCTTGTGATGGATTGATTCCATTACCATCCAAAAGTAGGCGGCAGCGAAAGTAAAGTTAGAAGTTAGTAGTTAGAAATATATATATATTTGAAATTATATATGAGAAAGTATTCTTGTGATGGATTGATCCATTACCATCCAAAAGTAGGCGGCAGCGAAGTAAGCATTAGTGATATATTTCCTGAAGGGTGGAGTGTTCTAGTTAGTTATATCCTCTTTCGAGGTAGTCAATTGTAACAATCGTATGACGTCTTTCATATGTCGCATACGTAATAAGCTTCATCCTTTTAACACTGGCTTTATTCTATTTCTAGATATAAAACCAATTCTCAATTTATGTGGTTCACGTGCTTGAACTTCATCTTTCAATCCTTCCCTCACCCACCTAATGTCAAGTAAATAAAGGGATTCGACTTTATTTTACAAGCGTTTGTCTTGCATAAATTGAACCAGAAATCTATATCACGCTATAGATGATTCAATTTTTAATAAAGCTGCCTAGCATTTTGGAGGTAATAGATATTAATCCATTGCCAAAATGGCTGGTTTGCTCACTTATTTTAGATAAAACAATGTAAACAATCAAATAGCAATTCATATCTTTTATTGAGAGAAAAATAACAGAATTACAGAAAGGTTGTTTTTTTATACAAACGATAATAAAATAAAGAATATAAAGATAACAAATAATAACAAAGGAGAATGATGGATTAGGTATAGCTTCTATTGAGTCTGAGACTTTGGAGCACAACCTTCCTTTCTTAACCTCTGAGATTATGAACACGAAACTACACTAAATATTTACAGGGTGATATGACTATTTTTCTTTTCTGCCAGCCCTTTTCTCTGTTGATTTACGCTGCTATTTATAGTAATCAAATGCTTAAAGGTTAGTCTTCTCTGCATAATTTGGCATTTGGGGCAAGTGGGCTGTGTCTAATCATATTACAGCTAAGCATCAGCTGTCGTTCAATGATGGGGACTTTTAGCCTTGGAACTGGTGTAGGCGATCGCTTGACTTGGCTTTGGCACATATGAGATTGCCTAACATCAATAGGAGACCGCTTGGAGTAGTGTTTCATCCATAGGAGATTGCTTGGTTAGCATCTTGGCTACAGGAGATCGCCTAGGTGGTCATGAGATCGCCTGAGTGTGAGTTTGCCCTTAGGAGATCGCCTAGTGCACATAGGTGGTCTCTTAGCTTCTCTTTTATCGCTTACGCTTATCTTTTCCATGCCTTAGGCAATAGCCTAAGTGCATGTCTTGCTGGACTTGGACTTTTCTCCTTAGTGGGCTTATTTTCTCCGCAACTGAACCTCAATTTGGCTTGTAAAATGGGCTCGTAATATTAGCTCTCAAATTGGGCTTTTTCGAGTCTAATTGCCAATATTTCCGCAGATTTTATGAAGAATACATTTTTTTTAATTTTCGAGATTCCTCCCTGTATAAAATTATAATTCTACAAATTTTCTAAGATAAGTGCACAAATATAGCCATTTTATTAGTTAATTTAGGGGGATTTTTGGTGTAAAAATACCTAAGTATTTGCATCGTATCAAATTCCCCCATGCTTAAACTGTTGCTTGTCCTTAAGCAATTAAGCTTTATTCTTTTCTTTTAAATATTAAATATTAAATTCAAGAACTCAATCTGTTAAGCTCAATTCCTAAGAATAATAAAAAATTCATTCAATAATCAATTCCTATATGCTTATATTATAAATACTGCAGAAAATTTATAGAATGGCCATAGCAAGTAGTTAGTCCTTAAGAATAGGTTTTTAGGTGTAAACTCCCTTTTAGATTTCATAGGTCTTTTCCAGGGTTGTAATGGGGCTCTTGAAAAATTTGAGCTTACTTAAAAAAATGGATCTTTAGGCTCAAGTAGTGTGTGATTGATATTTCTAGTTAAAATACTTTTGACAGTTCTTTCCTTTTCAATCACATTTTTTCACTTTTCCTCTTCATTTATTTTCCTGGAATTTTTCTTTCTTTCCTTATTGTTTTTGGGAACTTTGGATTTTCCTTTTCCTTTTTCTTCTTTTTCTTTTTCTTTGAATTTCCCTTTGGTTATGGATTTGAGGGAATCAATTTTTTTCCTCCTCAAAAATCTCAAATTCCTGTCACTTTCAAATTTTATTTTTGACCAAAAAATATAATTCACATAAAAAGGGTAATAAAGGCTTTTAGGCTTGGTGATTTATATTTTTGGGTTTCCTCAAGAAAGGATTCGAATTTTTAAGGCTCAAAGGGGCTTCTCAAGGGATTAATGTTCAAAAGGTATGAAAAATTTTAACGGTTCTTGACGTTGCTTATTCAAAGAATGCCTAAATCATTTTCTTAAGGATACACAAAATCATTTTCTATTTCGCCTCAAAGTGTTTTAAAGAAGGTTCTAGAATCTAAAGGAGTGAAAATTTTCCTACTAGCTAACTAACTCATTACGACCAATTTTTTAAAAATAACCATAAGAAATAATGATGAATAATCAATATTTTCGGAGTTATTACTGAAAGAAAGTTTATTTCTTCTTTGGAAATAGAAAATAAAATTTTGAGTTCTATCCTTAAAATAATCAATTTACTTGATTTATTAAAAAAGAAAGAATTTTTCATAATATTTTTGAGGAAAAGTAACAAATATTAGGCAAAAATTCTTGAAAATTTTGAAAATTCTAATTTTTTAAGTTTCCCTCCCCCATGCTTAAATTAGACACTATTCCCAATATTTTTTAGTCAAAGAATAGTTAAGGGTGAGAAAATCATACCTGACGGTGCCGATGTTGATCGTAAAAATAATCTTGAATTAAGCGCAGGATCAACTAACAAAAACTAAATAAAAATATTCCTTACATAACAGAACTATGTTAGTCATAAAAGCATAACATGAAATAGAAATAAGTTCTAAACATGATAAAAATATTCCTTACATAACAGAACTATGTTAGTCATAAAAGCATAACATGAAATAGAAATAAGTTCTAAACATGCAAATAAAAAATAAATAGTATGGTATATAAAGAAAATGAAAAATATGCAAAAAATAGTCCTAAGCAACAGGTGGTGCAAGGTAATGGTGGGTCTATGGAGGGAAGAATATCAAAGGTGCACTAGCAGGCGTAGCATGGGGTTGTTGGAGCAGTCGATAAATCTCCATCTGCTATTGTCCCTAACTCTTGAGGACTTGTAAAATGTTAGTTGACCAGACTCTAGGCAGTCAAGTCACTCGGTGATCTGTGCTATCACAGGAGAAATATCTACTATATCAGAGTCCTCTAAATCATTCTCTCCTCCTTCTCTGAGGCTTTGAAGTGGATCTCCATCCTCAGGGACTGATAAAACTCAGCGGAATCTATTAATAAACTCATATCTCGCTCCTTACCGCTGAATCTTACCCATTTGTTTCCAAGTCCCAATATCCAATCTAGTATTATCGTCAATAGGTGGATAGGGTGGATATGTGATATCAAACTCGGTTAGTCCCACTACTGAAGCTGTCACTAGACCACCAATTGCTATCATAGCCCAGTTATCAAATAAAGCGGTGACAATATACTCACAAATAAAGGGTCCCATATTAATTTGCTGTCTATGTGCAAAGTAGTGCAGGATAAAAAGATCAGTCTTAGAAATTGATCCTGGACTCTTTCCTCTAGCTAATAGTGTATGTCCCAGCAGTTGGTGCAAAATCCTAAGGCTGAATCTATCAATGAATGAGGATTTTGCCTCAACATTTCTATAAGGAGGGGCCCCAAAAGTTAAACTCTGCAAAATATCTTCAGTGTCAAAAATCCGATGGTACTATGTATGGCTCATTAGGTGCTTTGGGTAGTCCTAGTAATTCATTAAATTGACCAAAGCATATTTTCATATCTCGTCCTAAAATTCTAAACCATATTCTTCCATCAGGTGGCTGTGTATACTCAAAATGGAAAGAACTAAGAAATTCTAATGTCAACTCCCGGTAAGTTGGGTGGCTCTGAACCAAAAATGTCTCCCATCCCATAATTCTAAACATAGCAGTAACATGCTCAACCATATTAATCTCATTTAAATCATTCAAGTCTAGGTACTGAGATGGTATAACATGCCTCTTCATCAAAGAAGCGTAAAATTGTTTCTGACCAATACTTTTAAATGTTACCTTGCTTTCAATGGCAGATGGTATCGAGGGAGGCTGCAAAGTGATAGCTTTCCCTTTATGCAGTGCAGAGGTTCCAGCTTCATTTGCAGTG